ACATCATCAATGGCGGGGCACCACACGAGCTACGACTACACCTGGAAGGAAAGGGAGCCCAGTGCGACGAGGCGCTTATCGAGCTCATACAGCAGCAGCTCGATGAGAACGGGACCGTCGTCCTTGACGGCCAGCTCAGCGACGACATCCTCTACAACAGCCGCTTCGACAAAATTCGGAAGGAGCACACCCAGTTCTTCCAAGGAAAGGACGGGAAGTTCTTCCTCGTCCTCTTTAAGAGCAGCCCCGATGGTGTTGTCGTTGCAAGAGAGGACCGACCTCACGAAGTTTGTGTGGTCGGTGTTGGCGATGGCGATGGCCCTGGAAGCGAAATCCCGGTCCTCGGGGCCGGTGGCATCACGTTTTCCAAGGAGACACCTGGAAGGGTCGCAACCGCCTTGCGCCGACTCCATCAGAACTTAGGCCATCCCCAACTGCACGACTTTGTCAGGCATCTTCGGCTTGCTGGATGCGAAGCTCCTGTGCTGAAAGCAGCACGATCGATGCGATGTCAAGTATGCGAAGCGAGCGCAGGGCCAAAGGTGGCCCGCCCCAGCACCGTTCCGGTTCTACATGACTGGAACGACACCCTTGGGATCGACCTCTTCTTTGCGCACGATATCAACGACCGGAAGCACACCTTCCTGTCGGTCGTGGACTACGGCACAACGTACCACCTGGCTGCCAGGCTTGATGGCCACAGCGCTGATGACATCGAGGCCAAGTTCAACGAGATTTGGGTTCTGCCGTTCGGCCCGCCGAAGACTGTCGTCGTCGACCTCGAAGGAGGTCCTCAGGCCGCCCTCGCAAGGCTTTGCGATTGGCACAACATCGGGATCAGGAATGTGGCGACGCAGAGTCATTGGCAGGCCGGAATGGTTGAGCGACAGCAGGCTTGGTGGAAGTCAATATGGGAGAGGGTGACCTACCAGATGAGCGTGGGCGAGGGCGAGGTCGACTTGGCTACTTCGACCATCAACAGCGCGAAGAACGACCTTCGCCGCAAGTGCGGCTACAGCCCTTCCCAATGGGTGTTCGGGAAGGCCCCACGGCTACCCGAAGACCTACGCGATCCTGATGGAGGAGAAGAACTGGTCTGGGATGTCACCCAGGATGCAAAGTTCCAGAGGCAAGCAGCCATGCGCGCAGCTGCGCGCGTAGCCTTCCACAAGAGTCAAGTTGATCAGCGCCTTCAAAAGGCGTTGCTCCAGAGAACGAGGGTGGCTTCGCGGCCGTACGAGATTGGAGAGACGGTCCACTTCTGGTTCAAGCCGAAGAACCGGCGCAAAGGCGAATGGTCAGGCCCCGCGGTCATCGTGGGTAAGGAAGGAGGCAACTACTGGCTTTCAAAGGGCGGCCGATGCCGATTGACTTCTCCGGAGCATGTGCGCCCAACAACACCTGAGGAAGTGGGGTCCTTTCTTACCATGAAAAACACCCGCGACGAGGTCGAGAAGCTCCTTGAGTACGACCCCGATGACCCGGACGTTTTCGAGGACGAAGAGGACGAGGACATGCCCTACGACCCCGTCGACGATGTCTCGGTGGACTACGAGCCCAGCGAGATGGACTATGAGGGTGCAGCGGAGGAGGCCCCGGTTCTGGAGCCGATGGCGGAGGATGATCTAAGGCCCCCCCAAAGACGTCTCAAGCGTAAGACCAACCCCAGTGAGGCTGGTCAGCGCGACAATGAGATATGGATGCTCCGGAGCGACCTCACTAGGCGAGGGGTGGAAAAGCGGAAGGAGAAGGAGTTGAAGTGGTCGGAGATCCCGGAGGAAGCTCACCAGAAGTTCCGCGAGGCCGAAGAAGTTCAATGGCGGGAACATCTCAGTTACGATGCGCTGCAGCCACTTACCCTGGAGGAGAGCAACGCCGTCCGTGCTCGAGTACCACCCGACCGAATTCTCCGGTCACGCTGGGCCTATAAGGATAAAAACTATGCGCGTCGCCGAGATGGAGAAAGTGTTCCCTGGAAGTGTAAGTCGAGGTTGGTTATCGCTGGCCATACGGACCCAGATCTCGGGACCGAGCGATTATCAACCGATGCGCCGACTTTGTCAAGATGCGGTTTCGCGTGTCTCTTACAGATGGTCGCCAATGGAAGGAAGGAAGCGAGTCCATGGACCCTGGCCGCCGGAGATATCAGGTGCGCTTTTCTGACTGGCAGC